CTGGGAATGACAACAGACGATCTTGATTTAGTATCAGCATTCTCAAAACCTTGTCGACGACCCCTTTTCACCACGCGACTCCACTTCAGAGAATCTGAGGAATATGTTAATCCTGTAGCTCCCTCCATTGTCACAGGACTTTCCACTCTCTGAGCAATCAAAGATAAGGACCCTGCCATCACAGGTCCTTTGCCAATGCCCGTATCCAAAGTTTCCACTGATGCGGCCCTGAGTGCCGTACCCTCGATCCGTGTAGCTCTGCCTTGTGTCGTATCCGTCGATTGCTCCAAATCACACACTCTTCTATTGATATCCACTGTGATAGCTCGTAGATCTTCTCCCACATTAACATGTAGTTGCAGTGCGTGTTTCATAGAACAAAGCTCAACACTCAGCTGCTCCATTCTTCCAAGCAAACTTGAAACATCGGTGCTATCGAAGGATACTGGCGGCATCTCATCCAAATAATGTGAAACAAATCTGGGGATATCTTCGCCACATTCATTCATCACTTTACCAGGTTGGTTATTAACGTCTTTCTGTGGCCCTTTATGAGAAACTTTCCATTGTGTTATAGGACATAATTCAAACAGCACTTTTTTTGAGGCCTCAATCCAATCAGAATCAAACGTCTTTGCAGCCAACAGGACAATTTCGTGCTGACTTAGAGTCTTAATTTTAACAGCAAGAAAATTAAGGAATTCATCCTCAACAATAACGTTGCCGTCAACAGTGTTATATATCTCAGGTTTCAAACGAGATCGTTTAAACTCAGACCAAGTTACAGTCAACCCTCTTGTCGAAGCGTCCGCCATATTGGATCTCTTCTTTTTTGTTAGAATTGCTTACACAGGATATGCAAAGACAGCGGCTCACCTTCTTTTGCACAAAAACACCACACAGTGAGAATACTACCTACTCCTTTTGCCCTGTTTAATCTGGCTATCGCTCTCCCTTCGGTGTCATATGCTCTACTGAGGCCTTATGAGAGGATAGTAACCTACTGTCTGCGCAGTCGTATTTCTAGGACGCTAATTACTCCTGCCTGAGTTCTCGTTTATTGACAATGGCTTCCTTGAAAAAGCTTGTCAAGGGACTAATAATGACCAGCTGCTTCCCACACTGCAGCACAAACTAATGAATACTCTTTCAATCAGGGCTTGTGATGGATTTAATAACAAAAATCATTTCTGCCCACAGGCTGCGCGAAAAAAAACGGACCGATAATCAGAATTGCATTGCTCCCAGAGGACCCGCTCCACACCGTTCTCAAAATCCGTGTGACCCGGATCAAACGCCGGTGTTTCAGTTAATTTGTGCTTGTTTTTGCTCGATAAGTGATGAATGAATGGCTTTATTGTATCAGTGTGGCTGCCATCTGTCTGTTTGTTCGCCGTCGTGGGAGGAAGCGGCTTTATTGATTCAATTCTGAGCTGAATTCCCTGCAAGTCTCCTTTGCAAACTATGCCAAATCTTGCAGTTAAATGACAAACAGGCTGACAGAAAAAAAAATAACTCTTCTAAACGTGTGCCAGGACGTGAACATATTTCCAGAGGACATCCCTCGCAGTCTGGGGAGTCACATTTTGGCAGGCTTTGATTGGTTTGATGGTGTCTGCGTCCTCGTGGCTGAGCAAGAACGCTTGTTTCTCAACATACGAGACCTTTAAGAGGATTTACAGTGTTTTGCGAGCCGGGAGCCTTCGGGTTTGTGTCTCATTAATACCTGGGAATCTCTCTGGATTTGTTATGGGATGAAATGAATGTTGCGTACTTGCTGTCGTGCTATGAATTGGTGTAATCCTTCTTCAATTCAAGGTCAAGTTATTGAGGTCTGCACTTCATTATTAAGCTCTAATCTTTATTTAACAATTGATATGGTGAATATGTTAATAGCAACGAAATGCTTTTGTTTACAGAGTGTAGTTATAAATATAGAGGCCATATATCTATATCTATATCTATATATATATATATATATATATATATATATATATAAAACAATAAACTGAAGGTTAGAGGTATTCTTATGCACACAAAGTCCCTCTTAATGGAGGCAAAATCACTAAAGGTGGCTTATTGTAGTTCAAGTAATGTAATTTAAATTGTTCCTTTGAATAATTGATTGGTCAGTACGGTTCATCCATTTTATAATATGCTACATTATTTAACCCTTGTTGTGCTAAAAATCCTTTACCTAATTTGGTGTTATGTTTTATTATCACAAAAACGTGATAGATTGTAGGCCTCGTTGATCTGATCTTACACACCTCATTTTGTCGATAATTATTGTAATTTTCACTCAAAAACAGTTTTCATAAGCTCATATCAATGAGGCCTACGATTTATAAGCTATTTTTGTAGGTCAGTAATTTCAGGAACACCGCAAGAGTAACAAAGTGGCGGGAAAAAGGCCAAACAATTTACAAAAATGATTTTTTCGAGGAAGTTGTTACACCGTGTGAGCAAAGTCACTAAGTTTTAGTCCAATGCTATAACATTAACTAGCAATTTCAGGGAAAAATAAAACCCTATGAATGTCAAAATGACCAGAACACCACTTAAATAACATGTTAAATATTTTTTTGGGATATTGTGCGGTTGCCGCCTAATATGAACAGTAAACAAGGAAACGAACTCGACTTATAAAAAAAGAATACTATTTATTGTAATACTTCCTTTGATCATAATATAATGTAATATTTCTTAATGTACACAGAGTATATGCTTATTTATATATTTGGGCATAAGCTACTACAGGGGACATGTACAGTAATTAAAACAAACATAAAAAAATACAACAGAATATCATTGGCACAGATGTGAAGAATACATATTGGGGGAAAAAACAAAACCTTAAATGAACACGTTACAGTCTCACAGTGAATACATTTGCATCTTTTTTTTCACATTCATGGCTTAATACACAGATCTGGATGAAAACATGGCTCTAAATTAAGAACTTCCCAAATGTACCCAACATTTACAGAGACAAGCTGCCTCTTAATAGACACACACACACACACACACACACATACACACACACCCTAAATATTTGATTTGAATGGGAGTTATTTGGGTTATAAAAAAAGAATCAAGAAAAAAGCTGGATTTTTTCCTGGGAGTTGATTGGCTTGTGAAATGTGCTCTCCTAAAACTAAACCAACTGGAACCAAAAAGCCTCTTTGTCCATGAAGAGATATTCGTACGTAGCAGTGTATTTTTTGCAAATAACATACTAATCTCAAATATATTATAGTAGATGTTTTGCAAATGGTTTTTAGCATGAAACTGATATGTGGGAAAATGAAAAAATAAAAGTTAAATATAAATAATAAAATCATAAACACTTTTGAACTTTATCATTGATAACACTTGACTGAACATATTGCAGTCTGAAAAATAATGTGGGTCATTGAAGGGTTTAAATGCTTTAAGGGGATAGAATATATACCTCTGTGAGATGAATAGGTGTTTTTACAGCATCTGTGTGACCGTATTTTACACACACCTGCTTTTGCCCTTGGTCAGTATTTGCACTGCAGATCAGCTCCATTTCCATAATTAATATGCTTAACTTGTGTGAGCAAACTCTGCCATCAGTCCAAATTAGCTAGCAAACAAACAAACAAGCTCAGTGCAGCAGAGCATGATGGGTAATGGAGCGTTATGCCTGATGGCTCCTTCAGTAGCAAAAGCAGCGGAGTCACGTGACACGGTCATGTGTACTGAGAGGCGGCGTTAAATGAGTGTCAATCACAGTGACAGTGTATTTACTGACTAATCAAGCGTCAGTCAGCGTGTACATAGAAACTCAGCGGGGACAGAAAGGGCATCTTCTAGCTCTGCTGACACAGCGGCGCTGATCTAAACCCAATCACCTGCTGCTGACAGCAGCTGAATGAGACCCAGAACTCACGGGAAACAAGAGCTAAAGATGCTGAAGGTGTGAGATGTTAGTGTCACCCTGGAGGAGCAGACAGCTGAAGAGCAAACGTTATGGGAAAACTAAGTGTTATGGAGCTGCAAAGAGATCAAATCGAGGTCAATCCAGTGTGATACAATACAATAAATAAGATAAGCTGCTCCAGTGGAGTACAGTGGTAAAATAGACCAGAAAGAACCAAAAACACAGGAAATTGTTTTGCTTATCTTATGACAACCAAAATATGCACAGAAATGTGCTAACAGAACATGTTACCTGACAAAGAACAGACTATAAAATATATAAAACAAACACAAACAGGGCTGCAATCACCATAAACACTGGGACATTTCCCTCGATTTTCATGGGGTTTTCAATGAATGCTTTCTAACTGAAACAATAAATATGTTAATGAAAAAAGCAAATGTAAAAATAAATAAATAAAAATTAAGGGAATCAGTGCTGAAAAGCAAGGTGTTGAAGTTTTAGATATACTACAGTTTGAAAGTTTTTTTTTTGTTTGTTTTTTTAAAGAAATGAATACCTTTATTCAGAAAGGATGCATTATATTTATCAAAAGTGACAGTTAAAGACAATGTAACAAAATATTTCTATTTTAAATAAATGTTGTTCTTTTCAGCTTTTAGTCATCAAAAAAAAAATCAGTAAAAAAATGTGTCAGTTTGCACAGAAATATTAAGCAGCACACTGAAGACTGAAATAATGAAAGTAATTCTGAAGATGAGTATTGATGCTGAAAATCTGGCTTTGCATCACAGGGATAAATTACATTTGACAATATATTAAAATAGAAAACAGGGTCCCACTTTATATTAATTGGCCTTAACTGCTATGTACTAACATTTAAATGAATAATTTGGTACAATGCACTTATTGTGTACATACATGTTTTTACATTGTACTTATATTTTAAAAATACCTGCATGTAATTATTTCTGTAATTACATTTATAATTATACTGTTGACCCATCCCTTACACCTTAACCCACCCTTAAACCTACCCATACCACCAAACCTGTCCCTAACCTTACCCTTCTTACCCACCTCAATAGCAGCAAAAGTGTTTTGCAATACAATATGAACACAATAAGTACATTGTACTTATTTGTTGATGTAACTACATAGTAAGGCCACTTAACATAAAGTGGGACCGAAAACAGTTATTTTAAATAGTAATAATATTTCACCACATTACTGTTTTACTGTATTTTTGATCAAATAAATGCAGCCCTGGCGTGCAGACAAGTTTTCTTTCATAAACAAAAGAAAAAGAAAAATCTTACCAGCCCCAAACTACTGAACGGTTGTTTCACTGTAGGTTTTTGACTTCACCTCAGTGGAGTTCTGTATATATGATCTGCTTTAAATCTTTCTATACAATCAAAGCCTTTTCTTACAAACATATTGTCTGTTGTATGTGCATGAAATCAAATGATGTGCTCCTTTTGCAGTGTAAAAAAGGAAGAAAAGAAACGACCACATTTCAGAATGCAAGAAAAAAGACTGGTTGCAAATTCAAGTATCGAGCCTTGCTGCCCTTCAAACACTGTAAGTAGAGCATGAACGTGTTCTCTTAGTGTTCAGAAGAGTATTTTACGAAAGAACAACATAAGGAAATACATTTTCTAGTCAATGTGATGGCAAAACCTCTTTTCCATTTATTTGAGCCCATCCGATCCTGAATATGTAGTCATGCTGAATGACAGCCATGGATGCTCATTTAAACAGCAGTCTTACTTGAATGTATCATTTTAAAATCAGCTTCACATGACTGATTTGATCATATTATTGTCACCTTTGGAGCTACACTCCTTTGTGTTCCATGAAAGAAAGAAGAGCACAGGTTTGGAGCAACATGGTGGGTGAGTAAATGATGTAAATGATTAAACTAACCGTTTAAAATGAATGAACGTAACATTGAAATGATAGATCGAAGATGCTTAGAAATGCTCACTTTTTTGATAGTTAAGGCTGGAATGGTAAACACATTCAGAACATGTTCTCTGCGCACCCAATGAACACGGTTACAGGGGAAACCGACAGAATGTATTCCATCACAACACATAAAACCCAATGGATTTGGCTTATTTCACAGTGAGACTCGCGCTTCACAACATAACACAGTCGAAACACACAAACTATAAAAGAATGACTCAGTAAAAAGAGACATGAAAACACTGAGGGCGTTCTCGTAACGAAAAACTCAAACGCCAATGACTGAATTTACTCTTCAAGTATAAAGCCCAGTGATATTGACCTCTTCAAGTTACGAACGGCGCAGCAAATATATGTTCGGTGACTGGAGGGAATGAAGAACCAAGGCGGTTTTTACAAGACCAGCTACACACCGAATTGACATTCACATAATTAACTCTCCAGTTAGGATTTTTCAGTGTTACGTTACTACGTCATAAAGCTTCGTTAAGGTGTGTGTAGGCCTCCAGCTGTTATTTTCCTCTATTTGCTTAGTATACAATGTTCTTCCTGTACAGACTTTACATATATGAATTCAGATTCACCGTCTGAATCTTTCATTTCAGTTTTTTCTTTGCGTCCAAAGACTGAAAAAAAAATTCCAGAGCTCATTAAGACTCTGAAATGAAGTGTGATTGGCTGACGTGACGTGTAATCTGATTGGCTCTCCCACTCAACTCAAGGCATGATGTCATCTCGAAAGCATGGCTATTTGAAGTAGTTGAGCCCGGCCACCAGAAGGAACTTCTCCAGGAAGAGTTCAGAGTCAAGCACCGCGATGTGAGCTGCGCGTCCGATCAGCGTGTTGGCCGTGTTCGGTAATGCATGGAACACGTTCTGCCTGATCAAACGACAATTTGGAGCGCTCAGCAATGGCTGGAGTAAGTTATTGATCATCTCTGTATATACTGGACCTGTTAGAAAGCAAATACATTCATTACACACATTACATTCAACATATGAAATATTATATGACATATTAATCACAAATGTACTATAGTAGATGTTTTGCTGATGCTTTTTAGCGTGAAATAGATATGTATTGAAAAAAGAAAACAAAAAGTTTATATATAGGTACATATACATATATATTGTTTTATAATAAATAAATTAAAAACTTTGGGCTTAATATATTCTTTTTTCTTTTTGAAATAAATTTTATTCAGTAAGGATATATTATATATATATATCAAAAATGACACAGTAAAATACTTTTATATTGTTACAAAGGATTTATATTTCAAATAAATGCTGTTTTTGAACTTTTTATTCATCAAAGATTCCTGAAAAAAATTTATCACCAAAATAAAATAATTAAATAAAAAAAATGAAAATATTTCAATAAAAATGTTTGTAAAAAAAAAAAAGAATCCTAAAGTAAAAAAATAAAATGTTAAAATAAAATGTTATTAAAATAAATCCTGAAAATATGCTTCACAAAAATAAAATATTAAAATAAAAATGTGAACATTTTATTAAAATAAATCCTGAAAATATGTATCACAAAAATGTAATATTTAAGTAACTGTTTTCATTGCTTTTTGATAATAATAAAAATGTTTCTTGAGCACCAAATCAGCATATTAGAATGATTTCTGAAGGTTTTTCTCTGAAGGTGATTTCAAGTGACACTAAAAATTCAGCTTTTGGATCATTTTACATAACACACTAAAGTAGAAAACGGCCATTTCATTAATAATAATTTAAAAATACATTAATACTATTTCACAATATTACTGTTTTTGAATTATTGATCAAATAAATGCATCTTTGGTTCATTTATTAGAACTGTCTGTTTTTATTATTTATTTTTTTTTAAAGATTTTAAGACTTTTTTTGAAAACATAGATTGGATACCAGCTTATACACAGACCATGTTATTAAGTAAAGTTGTGTGGCTATATACTTATATACTGGAAACTGTATGTGACGTTTATCCTGGTACAGTGCCTTGCCCCTTAGACTTCCATTGTAAATGCATTGTAGATTGTTGATTGTGTGTGTGTTTTTTTTTTTATTAATCAACAGCATGCAAGAGTCTTGCATATTTTTCCATTTCAAATATTTGATGCATAAAACTCGCAAACAAAAGACACGTTCTTTCCCAGAAGAGCCTGAGAACTCGTAAACAGGACTTTGTCTCCAAGCGAATTGATAAAAACCTGTGCACACAGACTCTTGGAAAGCCTACCAATCTGATTGGAACTTGCCATGTTGAGTGTAAGCTCTTGCCATTGTTTTGCTGTCTGCAGCTAGCTATGCATTGACATAAACAGTCTGTATTTCTAAGTCTCTATTTCGTTGTTCTATGTGATCATAGTCTTTGTGTGTGTGTGTGTGTGTGTGTGTGTGTGTATCCTTAGCTCTGACTGTCACACTGACACTTACAGAGATGCTGATTTCTCTAATCTGTCTCTCAAACCGAGAGAAAAATACCTGTCAAAGAGCTGCACGCCACTCTCAGAAGTGACAGTCTCATAAAATGAAGAATGCTCTTTTCCCTCTTGCCCGCTCTTTAACTTCCTATCACAGTTTCCTTTCATTCCATTTCATTCACAATGCTGGCAGAGCAATTTGCTGCTAATGGGATACACGTGCACAAAAAAAATCCTAGAGCGTTTCAGTTGGTTGCTAGGGTGTTGCTATGTGCTTACTAAATCGTCCTGGCAAGTTCTGGTTTGGAACAGGAAGTCTTTGAGTTAACAGACCTGTGGTTCTGTCTTTAAGCGCAGTCCGACACATCTCAATGCGGGCCGAGTGGAAGGGCACATATCGGTCCTGTGGAGAGGCCACCAACACCACGTTCCTGAAGAACTGCAGACCTGGATAAAGAAAGTAAGGAAACATGGGTATGTATGTGTTTGTGTTCATTCTTGCTTGTCTTTCTATGTGTCTCTACCTGGTTTCTTGCTGAGTGTGTAGAGGAAGGTCTGTCGCGGGTCGGTGTGGTCCCTGAACGTAAGCTGCAGTAGGGAACCAGACTTCTTCAGTTTCTGCATTAGCCACAGACCTGAAGAACAAGGATAGAAAGTCATAGAGGTTTAGAACGACATCAAGTTGAGGAAATGGTGACAGACTCTGTAGATTTTATTCAGCAAACCGATGAACTCTTGACAGACTGCATATACACTACTGCTCAAATGTTTGGGGCCGCTAAGACTCTTATGCTCACCAAGGCTGCATTTATTTGAGCAAAAATACAGTAAAAATAGGAATATTCTGACATATTATTACCATTTAAAATAACTGCTTTCTATTTGAGAACATTTTAAAATGTAATTTATTTCGGTGATGCAAAGCTGAATTTTCAGCATCATTACTCCAGGCTTCAGTGTCACATGATCCTTCAGATATCATTCTAATATGCTGATTTTCTTTGATGAACAGAAAGTTAAAAAGAGCAGCATTTATTTGAAATAGAAGTCTTTTATAACATTATGACTTTTCAATTTAATGCATCCTTGCTGAATACAAATAAATGTCTTAAATAAAACACGACTGACCCCAAACTTTTGAACAGAAGTGTATGTCTGTATTTGTGCGAGTACCTGTGCTGACCAGCGTGCTGTTGCTGTACAGTGTTCCCAGGTGGGGTCCAGACAGGGACAGGAAGGTGTGGAGTTTACAGAGGTAACAGCGAAATCTGGGTCGGGTCAGCACAGAGCGAATGATAACGTTCCCCAAAGAGTGTCCGATAAAACTGGCAAAAAGAAAGAAACAAAAAAATATGTGTTCATTTTGATTAATTTTTGGGTCTCTTTTCATTGCAAATTATTCTTACATCGCAATAAGGGACTACAGTTTTAATTAAATCTCTCTCAGTCATTATGCAACTTTTTAACATTTGATTTTGAAAAGACATTTGAAACTCTAGACTTCAGAGAACGAACAAAGACTGGGAAGTATATAAAAAAAGTAATAATTGACTGTAAAATGAATATTAAAAAGCTTTATATGAACTAAGAGACACATTTGTTACATTTTCCAGAGTATTATGTGAATATCTTCAGATTTTATTTCTTCTGAATGCCTAACATAGCTTTCTTTTACTTTACTGCCATCTTGTGGTAATAGTAAGTATAAAATATGCAGTTCTAGTGGAGCCATCCAGGCTACAGAACTACTGTATTCACCTTTTTTTTTATTATTATTATTATTATTACTGACACTAAAAGAATATATTTAATGTGAAGCTTCATACGCCATGCTATACTTGATATCTGGATCAAACATTTTAAATGCAAACCTTGTCTACAACATGTTATTTTGTAAGCAGCTAAAGATCATACATTTGTTAAACTGTTCGTGAATATCCAGATGTAAAGACAAAACTAATGAGGCTTACAACATGATTAACTGCTCTCAAGGGGTTGTGACAGATGACTCTAATGCCCAACCACAAGGGGGCACGCTAGTCTGTGTTTTGTATTTTTATGAAGTGTGTGTGTGTGTGTGTGGGATCAGGGTTTTAAGAAGTCATATAGTGTCAGTTAACATGGTGGTTGACATGGCCTAGTTAGATATTGCTGGTAGATGTCGTATCTGGATTCAGAAGGCATGAAATTGAATGTCTACATCTGTTCAGACTCGTAGTTTGAGCTCTAATGCAATGCTGATATTGACTGTGGTTTGGTTGTGCTGCTATAATATCAATATGATGGTGAGTTTGAATGAGGTTGTGTGTTTATAAACCTGATTCGGTGGATGGTGAGGTTATACAGTTGGATGTGCTGAATTATCTCGTCCAGAAGTCTGTCAGTCATGGTGTCAAAATCTGCAAAGGTGTCCGTCTAGAGACAGAAGACGACAATGTCAACAGAAAGCTGATCAAACTTGTAGTAACCATTTGAAAGTTGTGATTGGTTGTTGAGGGGCATTGTAGCTTTCTGATTGATTGTTGTGTGCTGTTAACTGGTCACATAGTGATAGTTGTTTGTTGTTGTGTTGGCATGCTGAAACAATGAACTATTGTCGATCTGAGCAATAAAAATGTGGAACATTTGATTTAACTTTTTTCACTCCATTCAACCAGGGATCCCTGGTTCAAGGTTTAATTTTTTTTAACCATTAAATGTTTCCTATTTATTTATTTAAATGAATTCATTCATTAATTTCATATCTGACCCCTGATCTGTCATTGACTAATGTCATAATGTCCTGGGTGCTCTGATTGGCTGATGCAGTTCAACAGCTGTGCTGATTGGTTGGATGTTCTACCTGGTTGCGTTCTGACATGAGGAAGTCCAGTCTAGATCCAGGCAGCCCGAGCTCTATAAACGTCTTGACCAACCGCAGATCTGCGCTGTTACCTGGTAAAAACAAACACAAAAAAACAATTTACTACAGATGCAGCTATTATTTTTTACATCTTAAAAAGTTTGCAGATATGAATCCAAATGTCTTCAAGGTTAGAACGTTTACCATCAAGTCCATGGACACACACCACGAGGTGGATCCCATCCTCAAACTCAGTGTCGTCTTCCTCAGGAGGGAAGTATGGGTGTTCAGAGGCGAGGTAAGGCAGGTCACTGTAGAGAGTGCCTCTGAACACCAGCTCCCTCAGCATGGCTTCTTTTGCCTTATAGAAGCTTTAAGACATCAATGAAAAACTGTAATAATACAGTAAGCAATGCATTCAAGTTCTGTTAAAATAGTAAAGGGGGAAAGCTGAAAATTCAGCCTGTACATACATTCATACCTCCTTATGATTGGTAAGAAAATGTACATTTAAAATATAAATTTTGTTTGCTATTACTGAACAACCAAAATTAACTTACTTAATCATTCTCTCGTTGATTTCCTGATCAGCGCCGAAGGAGGAGTTGGAGGAAATGATCCCAAATGAGCCTAGGGGTTGATGGGTAATGGGGGAAGTGGCCTGGCGCGTGGAGATTCCGCTAACCGATGGCGAATCACGTAGCACAGACGAGAAGGGCAGACATGTGGGAGCACATGACACCGACAGGTTGACTACCTCCACCACCTTTTTATTCACGAATGCCAGACCTGTACTTGGCACTTTACTGGCTCTGCTCTGCCCCTCTAGCGCCTGCTGCTCTCTCTCATTGGCCGGAAGCTTGATGAGATCAGCAGGCATTTCTTTCTCATTGACAGCAATTTTGTAACTGCTCTTGGCATTGATTGGTGGATCTGGAAGGTTCTCCATACTTACTTCTTCAAATTCATTCAAATGAATGTGACAGACACTGATGTCATCGGGGTCCTTTTGATATGTGTTTGATTCTAGCACCCCCTTGTGTTCGCAATATTTATTTTCACAGCTACAGATCTTTGTGTTGTCATCATTTAGAGCAGAATACTCTTCAATTAATATGTTTGCTTGACTTTCCTCTGAGTTTTCAGTCGGTTCCTCCACTGTGGCGTTTTCAACACCATTGTGCGTCCCAAATTGCTGGTATAGTAACATTACTGGATTATCTAATTCAAGATCTGCTGTTTCCTGATTGGACAATTCATCCACGTCGATCTCGTGATTGGTTGTTTCGTTTCTGTCCTCCTTAGTAACGCTTTGAAGATTCTGCTTCACCTCATTGACTCCTTCCTCCCTCTGCCTTAGCTGATTGGCTGCACAAACATTCCTCTTCTCCTGATTGGTTGTTTCCTCTCTATCCTCTCTAGTAACTCCTTGAAGTTTCTGCTTCATTTCTTTGGCTGCTTCCTCACTCAGCCGATTGGCCTCACAAACATTCCTCTTCTCCTGATTGGGTATTTCATGATCTTCCTCTGTGTCGTCAGGACTGCTGATCTGTGGCGCTGAGGCGGATTTGGTCAAAGTATTGAGCTGCCTCTCCTCCTCCTCTTCATAAGGCAGGGAGCTTATGGAGGTCAGAGAGGCCTGCGTGGCACTGGGCAGGCTGCCGTGACTTTCTGTCTGTAGGCCCTCCAAAGAGCTCTGATGCGCCGGCTGACGACGCGCCAAGTTCTGCAAGACGTCACGACCCCCTCCAACAATTCCTCGACCCTCCAGGGTCCAGGCCACGGAGCTTGGCTCACTCTCAATACCAGAATCCGAGATAACAGAGGAGGAGCGGTTCATTCGTTTAGCCCCGCCCAAGAATATGCCCTTGGGCGGGGTTTCGGACAAGCGACGGATCTGTTGTATAACATTACGAGAAGGGGACGTGGCTAAAGTGTCGGTTCCCATTGAGTTGGTGTTCAGTAGATTAGCTGGTGATGTATCCTTGTTCCCATAATCCTTTGCAGGTGCTTCAGTGTATCTGTTATCTAATACCGACTGTGGCTGGTCGTTGCCAAGACTCCCTGTATTGCCTGGGGTTTCAAGATGGTTGTCATGGTTATGAGTGGGCAAGAACTCAAAGCTGTCAAGGCTGGTGAAGTCGGGAAGTTCTGCAGCATCCGTCGGAACAAGCAGCAAAGTCTGTCCGCTACTAAAATCAGTACTTTTGGGAACATTTGTTTGTTTTAGACCCGCATGATCAGATTCAACAAAGTCAACTGTTTCTTTTTGGCAACTAGCTTTCTCAAGGTTACCTGTATCTATTGCTTCATCGCTGTCTACAGACCTACAATCAACATCGAATCCTTCCTCAGTTTCATACTGGCATCTGGCCTTATCAACAGAATCAATTCTTGAATCTGAGGTTGTGATACATTCGCTTTTATCAATATCAGTCTCTCCCACATGGCCAATCAGAGTCTCTGCTTGAGCTCTGGTCTCTTTATAGTCAGTGATGCAATCCTCCTGCCGGCCAATCAGGGCCATGTATGTGGGCAAGTCCATGTAATCTTCACAGGGAGGTTCATCAGGGGGTGTTGCTGGTGAATTGGTGTCCTGTGTTCCCTCAACTGGAATGATGGTTTGATCTTTCATCCTCGTTGGCTCAGGACATGGCTGAGAGTTTAAGACTGAAGTCTGATTTTCCACATGGAGGTTGTAGTCTAGAACAGACAAAGCGAAAAGTGCATTGTACTTTTTGCAAATTGTATTTTTTTTGTTGTTTAATAAAAACTTGAGGATACTTTAAAATGTGTATTTTTGTTCTGTTGCCCTATTAATTTGTTGATTAATTTGATTGTTTTTATTTGATTTTTTTTTCATTTATTCATTCATTTGTTCTTAATTTCTTGAATTAACTCTTGAGTTAACATTCACATTTTCATTCTTGTTCATGCATTTGTTAGTTTGTTGGTTCATTACTTCATTTAATCTTGTTTCTCATTGATTTGTTAGTACGTTTAATACATTTGTCATTCTTTCAACTATTCATTTATTTGTTTGTCTGTTCATTGTATTTCATTTATTTGTTTATTCTTTAGTTCTATTAGTTTTTCAGATCTCTCATTCATTTGTTTATTCATTTATACATTAATTCTTATATTTATTTGTTTGTTCATAATGCAGTTCACTGATTCACTTTTTAGTTCTAAATGTTTTGTTTGTTCATTTACTCTTTTGTTCATTCATAAGTCTGTTCATTCTTTCAGTGCAACGGGTTTAAAATGCTCACATTTTTGTTTATTCATTCATTAGTATGGCCTTTCATTTTGTTTATTAATTCGTTCATTTGTACAATCATTTATTTATTAATATATTTATTTGTTCATTATGCAGTAAGCACTAATTCAGTAATTTTTATTTAGTTTCTTCATTTATAGGCTTGCTCATTCATTCTGTGATTTGTTTAAATGCTCATTCATTTATTCGCTTGTTTAGATGTTCATTCATTCATTTTGCTTTCTTTTAAACAGGGTCACTGTTTGTTGTCACCTAAACAGGGCGTGTCAACGTATCTGTCCTCGAAGATGATTGGCAGGCTGCTCCAGTCTCCGTCGATGTCCAGGCATTCCACAGGAAGTGGAGGCATTCGGAGCAGGTAATCAGAGTTGCGCATCTCTGTGGCCACCTGTGCGTGTCTGTTGATACTATTAATTACAGTAGCTTTAATTAAAATAATGAAGGTTATTTCTCCATTTACAGAGCTAGGTATATATGAATACGTGGCTAAACGACTATACTATAAGACTCACAGTGCCTCCTGAAATGTGAGTGAGGACTCTTTGGGATGTTCAGTGAAGAAATATGCTTCAGAAAATCTCCTGACCTGCACAGACACACACATTTAGTATATATATATATAGAGAGAGAGAGAGAGAGAGAGAGAGATGAAGAGTTGCCATCTGAAATTCTCTTCTAAAATTAGCATTTTTAATCAGGCTCCTATATTTATGTTCAGTTATTTCACTTTAATTGCATAGAAAAGGGCCTATACATTGTCATTAGATGAAAATTACTGAACCTAAATATAGCAGCCTGATAAAAAAAAAATACTAATTTTAGACGAAAATTTCAGATGACACTTAGAGGCTTTTGCATCTGAACTCTTCATATACACATACATATAAACACACATTGATGAACATACGTACTATATATATATATATATATATAGTGGGTACGGAAAGTATTCAGACCCTTATAGACAGACATTTTTCACTCTGTTATATTGCAGCCATTTGCTAAAATCATTTAAGTGATTTTTTTTCCTCATTAATGTACACACAGCACCCCAGATTGACAGAAAAACACAGAATTGTTGACATTTTTGCAGATTTATTAAAAAAGAAAAACTGAAATATCACATGGTCCTAAGTATTCAGACCCTTTGCTCAGTATTTAGTAGAATCACCCTTTTGATCTAATACAGCCATGAGTCTTTTTGGGAAAGAGGCAACAAGTTTTTCACACCTGGATTCAAATACTTATTTTCCACCATAATTTGCAAATAAATTCTTTAAAAATCCTACAATTTGATTTTCTGGATTTTTTTTCTCTCATTTTGTCTCTCATAGTTGAGGTATACCTATGATGAAAATTACAGGCCTCTCTCATCTTTTTAAGTGGGAGAACTTGCACAATTGGTGGCTGACTAAATACTTTTTTTCCCCACTGTATATATATATATATCAAACGACAACAGCTGTAAATCACAATGATACATTCTTTGTTGTTTTATTAATGGAGTATTTATTTTGTTCATTTTTCTGTTCATTCAGTCATTAATTTTTGTCTAAATGTCTGACATGATGGTAACGGTAACATTATTTGGGAATGTGTATCTTTGTTATAAAAATATAAATTGTACACATACATACCTAGTAAATTGAATATAATAGTATAGTTAACAAATGCAAATGTATAGTAATTATGTGATTTTAACGCTTCTTTTACCATTTTTAGTTATTCAAAAGTCTTTAAAATTAACCATTTTAAATAAGAAATTAGATCAAATTAAAGAGAAAGTTGCTTTCTTTTTTAAAATAATCCTTATTTTTAATAGTTAAAAAATTCCTCTTATTGTTAAAAAAAAAATTAAATTAAAAATAATAATAATAGTCAAAAAAAAAAATTCCCCATATTGAAGAATCACCCATTCATATAAAATAAGTATACTAAGTCACTGTAGATCATACGGGTTATATATCATTCATGCTGCATCCAAATCGTTTTAGCTTTTCTCTCTGTATTTGTCTTACAGACACATTTTGAATGCATTACAATCTTGTTTTATATTCCTTTTTTAAGATCAGTCTTCCACAGCCTTCCACACATAAAGGAACCTCACGTACGAGAGAGAAATAAAACCACTCCTGTAATAAAAACTAAATTGGATTCATCCCTTCATCTTTTTCACCATTATAATAACTCAGAGTTCTGTAATTAAAAGCTGAACTGTCCTGTGGGTGGAATTACTGTATGTATCGAAAGAGATGAGGTTTCTACGTATAAAGCATCGCTCAAAAGAACGCAGAGTTGTGAGGGATGCTGGGAAATTCAGGCTGTGTATAAGCACCCCATTTTATTCCAGGATTTATCCTATTTAAATCAGCCTGACTAGAAACTAATTCTACTGTTGGTAATGAGGGAATCATGTTAGTTTGTTGCTACAATTATTAAATGAGCTGTTTGTGTATTTCATAAACTAAAAATATGCTGTCACGCTCAAAATTCACCCTGTATGCAACTGAAAATCAGGCTTTAGCGTCATTTGTAGCAAGAAAAGAAGACCTATGGGCATTGAACATGCTCAAAAAGCCTCTGCAACTCATTTTAATGTGACATATCTCTAAATGAAACATGATATTCAACAAGAAATGTAGTCCAGGACTTCCCAGCCCAACATAAATCAGCTCTCACCCTGAGTGTGTGGTGCTCCTGGGCCAGATATGAGCGGATATGTGGATTAGGAACCGTGGCTTCCAAAAACTGTGTCCAAAGAGCAGCCAGCTGAGCACAGAGCTGCATCAGTTCTTTACTGATCTGTTCTGCTACCTTCTCATGACCGCTCTGCAACTTTAAAACAATCAATCTCATTTAGTCACAGAACAATATTTATTATTGTGATGGTGTTTTACCTACATCATCATATTAATGGAGGCATTTGATAAGTAAAGTGTTTCACAAACCTGCAGTTCAATGGTGAGCTGGTTTAATGTTTCTTCAAGAGGAAGGTCCTCTGGAAATGAGAACGTAAGGAGAGAGTTTAGACACAGACAGATTTATTCCTGTGATGCTGAATTTCACAGTCATCTGTGTCACATGATCCTTCAGAAATCATTCTAATATGCCGATTTGCTGCAAAAGAAACTTTTCTTATTATCAATTTTAAAATGAGTTGTGCTGAATAGAAAGTAAAAACAACAACAACAACTATTGAATGGCTTCAAAGTTGTATTAACTACTTTTATGATGCTGATATGGTGCTTTTATGTCCTTTAAAAAAAAAAAAAAAAATACGTGACAATTCCTGATGTGTGCTTTTTGTGTCCCACAGAAGAAAGAAAACCTTATGGATTTTGAAGGACATGGGGGTGAGGAAATGATGACAGGGAACTGTCTTTGAGAAAGCCACACACATTTGAAGTGAATGAGTTACATAAGTGTTTGAAAATAAAAAAAAAAAAATACGTGACAATTCCTGATGTGTGCTTTTTGTGTCCCACAGAAGAAAGAAAACCTTATGGATTTTGAAGGACATGGGGGTGAGGAAATGATGACAGGGAACTGTCTTTGAGAAAGCCACACACATTTGAAGTGAATGAGTTACATAAGTGTTTGTGATTATACCCATCTCTATGTGTTGCAGTTGAGGGATCTCCTTCATTAGCGCCGTGTAATAGGAGCGCAGAGCTCTGTGAGCCGTCAGCAAGAGTTTACAGATGCGCCGGTGCCACGTGTAAGCTCTCTGCAGACAGTTCTCCGACGGCACGTAAAAACTGCCCTGTAAACACGCATACATTCACACAGGACATACGAGTGGAGGTCAGATTTTACTGCATGTCACACTTCTTCCCTGTTATTTCTGCGCACGCATAAGCAGGTAAACTCTGAACAACTCCAGTCATACATCCACTGTTCTCATAAGTTCTCCTTTAAGAGCTGAAAACACACGACAAAAAGAGGAAAATAGGAATATATAATTCCTCAAGACAATCTGTCTGTCTGTCCGTCTGATATCATATTTGTGTGATGTGGTTGTTATGAGCAGCAGCTGTATGTTTATGTTTGGCTGAGCCTGAAGCTCAATAATTAGATGAAGATCAAACACAAAGTAAAACTTTTAACGCAGTCAGTTTCCCAGCAGTAAAATAGGAGAAGTGTGCATACGTGGCACTCGCTTATGGAGAACGACACGGAGACGTCGTGCCGACAGGAAGTGCACACATGTAATGTAACGCAATGTAAACGCATAAACTCATAACGACATAAGATTATTTATATGACGTCTCTTTTTAACATAATGTCTCATTGATGTATTTTATTTGATTTATAGCATTTTCAGCAATTTTCACATTTCTGGGTAAAAGCAAATTGAAATAAATTTTAAAAAATAAGAATAATAAGAATACAAAAATAGACTGCTAATGTGTAGTACACTACTAATTGCTGCTTTGACACAATCAGTATTGTATAAAGCGCTATACAAATAAAGGTGACTTGACTACTATTCAAATGTTTGTGGTCGGTAAGATTTGTTTTTGAAAGAAGTCTTTTATGCTCACCAAGGCTGCATTTTCTGACCAAAATAAAGTTAAAACGGTAAAATTGTGAAATATTATTACAATTTATAAGCACTGTTTATATTTGAAGATATTTTAGAATATTATTTATTCCTGGGATGCAAAGCTGAATTTTCAGCATCATTACTCCAGTCTTCAGTGTCACATGATCCTTCAGAAATCATTCTAATATGCTGTTTTGCTGCTCAGGAAGCATTTATTCTTATTATTATTCTTATTAATTTTAAAAAACAGTAGTGCTGTTTAATGTTTTTATGGAAACCATGATGCATTTTTTTTCTTTGATGAACAGAAAGTTCAAAAGAACAGCATTTGTTTGAAATTTAAAACCTTTTGAAACATTATAAATATTTTTTTTACTGTCACTCTTGATCAATTTAATGTGTCCTTGCTGAAACGAAAGTGTCACAAATAAAAAAAAGCGAAATTAAAGTGCCATAAAATAAAATGTCAAAAGCATTACCTTGTTACCTTTTCATACTAGCGTGGAAACAGGCTTCTATATGAATCTAAAACACTAAATACAAGCTATTTTTAAATGTACAGTTGTAGTTAACAGAAAACGCTGGTGATGCTTTAAATGTTTGGAGCAAAGGCTCATAAATTGCTGATGTAGGGGTGATTGTGAGTTTGTTGGGCCTCTAATATGTCTTTACTGCATACTTGTGTATACTGTGTAATATGTGTGTGTATGTTTGTAAAGAGAGTGCTGAACGCTGTCATTATATGTGTGAAGCTTTGTAATCTACATTCAGTTATGTCCTTTTGACTCAAACAGATGCGTACTGAATTCAGTCTCTCTCTCTCTCGCACGCGCAAACATCTGCTCTGTGCTTTCTACGGACATTTATCACATTTTAGTAACTGTGGCAGCTGGAAAACACACAGGGTCAATATTACACTCACATACAAGCAACATAGGTCATAGTTCACAGAGCCAAATTGAATGTAAATTGTGTGCGCAAGGAGGAGTAAACGTGCCAGCTTGCACTGTGGGATAGTGTCATCTGTTTGTGGTCAACATGTGTATAAATACATTCATGCAAGTCTGTACGCTGTATATTACAAGTTTTCTGAAGCCGTACAGTAGTTCATTATAAGTATCGATGCACAATTCACGAACAATTGTTTGTATGAGTTGAATCGTTTCAGTGAATCATCTGATTCACAAAACTAGTCGGAATGATTTGTTTAGGAATCAGTCTGATCTGGTTCAACTCAGGGATTCAATTGCAGCAGTAAACGTGGAGAATGAGTGAATACAATTTAACCTGACTTTAAATTTAATTTATTCTAAATTTACTTTGAAGTTGTTGTTCACTGAACTATGTTTTAGTTCTCACAGAAGGCTGTTGTTTGATTCCGAAGCCTTACAAATTTATATGACATGTATGATACTTTTATGCTGTTTTGGTTTTGATTCATTTAATAAATGAAAACATGAGCAGTACAATCTTTCTTAATTTCTCTTTTGTGTTCAACAGATGAAAGAAAGCCAAAGGGGTTTGGCATAAATGTGAGTAAATGATTTATTTTGGGGTGAACTATTTCTTTAAGTGTTTCTTTAAGCTTTTGCAAAAGACAAAAACATTAACTCGTCACCTAATGAACTTGAAAATCTTGTCTTATGTCACAGAGTGAAAAGCAGCACATTATGTCCTTCATTGTAAAGTAGAAGTGCTGAGGAGGGCTTATAGAAAGCAGAGAGAGAGAGAGATGCTTGCTCCTCATGTTTGAGGCTGTTAAAGCTGGGCTCGTTACGATGATCAAACGCTGCATCCCTCCAGCGAAACGCTGTACTTAATAAAGTGCCCTGCGGGGGGGGGTTGGGGGGGGGGGTAGTAAACGTAGGACCCATACGGCGCCGCGAGGCCTCGGTAGGATGTCCTGCCTAAATGGAAATCTCCACAGGCAAGAGAAACCTCTCAGTTCATCCAGTCAGAAAAAAACGGAGGGCTACTCCGCAAACGGCCAGAAAGGTCAAATTATCTATGCTGTTTAGTTCTAAATTGCTCAGGTTAAGTGTCTGTATTTCATTCAGGGCCAGTTGCATACTGCCTGTAATAGGTGAAACTGAATGCATTACTCAGGCATTAGTATGCAAAGTTGTCATATGAACTCAGTATGTTTAATGTAGCATCAGGTAATTTTTTTCTGAAATAAAGAGGATATATAATTTTTAAAACAATAATTTTTTTGGGGGAGGGGGGGTGCAGTCTGATAACATAAATAAATAAATGTAAAACAGACATTTATAATGTTACAAAAAATTATATTTTAGGCTGAACTTTCTATTAATAAAAGAATCCTGAAAAAAAATGCATCACATTTCCCACAAAAATATTAAGAAAATCTATCAAGAAAAACTATTTTAGTTATTCATAATAATAAGAGCCATTATTAATAAATTAGCACAATAATAAGAGCCATTGTTAGTACTTGAGCACCAATAATAACTGTTAATATATATATATAGAGAGAGAGAGAGATTTTTTTTTCATGCATACAAAATATACTTGTTTGAGTAGTATGGAGTTATACTAATCAGAACATAGCAGCCTCAATTTCATCAGTGTTAAATTTGATATATATATATATATATATATATAGATAGATAGATAGATAGATAGATAGATAGATAGATAGATAGATAGATAGATAGATAGATAGATAGATAGATATGACCATTCCCTGCTCTTTTTCTGGCAGATACTAAAAGAGAATTGAACTATCTAAAAACCCAGAAGAGCATCACAGACCAGTTTCAGTGCTGTCAGCAGTCAGGTAAGATGTGAGAAAGCAGGACTGAATTAAATACTTCAGTCGAGATCAGTACAGTCATTTAAACACATTGTGATTATGTGTATGTGCAAAATGATGAGTTATGATGATCATGTTAGATGTATGTGGTTACCTCTGTTGGCACAGGTTTGCAATATCCCGCCCCAAACATCAGATTCTCCACTGACATTGCAGAGGGCGGAGCTTCACTCTCTGGAGAGCCTTTACCCAGCCACGCCCCCTTACCGCTGCGCGCGAAACTACACAAAGACAAACGACAGACTGTAAGTACCTGTGGAGTGATCAATGTGTGCAGCTGTTACCAACTGAATTAACGTAAGGGATCTCAGTGGGAACCGCTCAAAAGATTCTTCATTATCCAGGCATGGACAATCATTTGTACCACATATCTGTGTAAAAACAATTCTTGTTGGTCCTCACGGAAAACCCAAAGACACAAATGCCTGATTAGTTTGTAAAAGTCGGTCTTGAGAATATTTGTCACTAATGAAACCATTACACATGACAGCTGACAAACACACACACTGCGGATTTGACAGCTTTACTTTCAGGAGGGTTCAGAGAAAGATCTAGCACTTTAAAAGCTGAGTTTTAAAGAACAGATCCACGGCAGTGAAAACACATCACATGCTGCCAGTAACACCTCCTACGAACAGGAGATACAGATCCAACAAACAATACACAGTATTCACCATTCAACTAGAAAAGCTGGCCAGTTTATGTGACCATGCTAACAAGGACATTATTGCTTTGTAATTTAATTTAAATTTAAAAATGTAATTAAATATTTGTAAAAAAAATATGTAATTTAATTGGAAAAATTAAAACTAAATAATACTTGCCTTGGAAAATTAATGATGAAATTATTTAAATGAAATTAAATCAAATTAAAATGCTATACTTGAAATAACTGGTGATTTATTATTATTATTATTATTATTATTATTATTATTATTATTATTATTATTATTATTATTATTATTATTATTATTATTATTATTATTATTATTATTATTATTATTATTATTATTATTATTATTATTGTTGTTGTTGTATGCAATCAAATTGGGTTATATAAAGTGTGAATGTGACCTGAGAACTAAACTTATTATCTATGATTTTTTATTGATAAATATTAAATTAAATTAAAATATTATTCATTAGTAACTATTAATAATAATAATAATAATAATAATAATAATAATAATAATAATAACAATAATTGTATTATTGTTGCTTTGTAATTTAGTTCATTTATTTTTAATTGAAAAAAAAAACGTAATACTTGACTTACACAACTAATGATGAAATTATCTAAATTAAATTACATCAAGTATTATTATTATTATTGTTATTATTATTTGATGCAATTTAATTTAGATAGTTCCATCATTAGTTGTGTAAGGCAAGTATTATTACGTTTTTTTTCCCCAATTAAAAATAAATTAACTAAATTGCAAAGCTACAATAATAGAAACAACACATAATAAAACAAAGCAGCAAAATACATTTTGAAGCCATGGTAAAATGCCTTAAACTGCTGATTGGCTGAGAACTGGTGGGGCGGAGTTTGTTTGATCACCTGATCAGTGGTTGGTGCAGTGCCACCAGGGAGGCGTGGATTGAGGCGGAGATGACGGACAGGTGGAAATAGTCAAACATGACGGGCAGGTGATGGTGTAGGCCTTGGTGTGGATGGAAGTGCAAACCCAATGTCCTGCTGCTAATCAGAGGCACTGAAGAGATATCCGCCAACCTAACACACAAACACAAAATAACACTCGATATAGAAAGACCCAGTCACACTAGACTTCACACTCCATTCATTAATTCATTCATATGCATGTGAACAATGGAGACCGGAAATGCAAGACAATGACTTTATCATTCACAATTTTACACTGAAATTCTCTGATCCAACTCATCCATTAAAAAAACGTATTAACAACTGTACTGAGATGTGGCAGCCAGAGAAAAAGAGCAAGAGAAAAAGACCTGAATAAAGAAAACTTAGGAGAAGGAGAGAGAACGTGAGGAGGATAGGGAGATGGACAGGTAGTGCAGATAATGAGCTTGCATTAGTGCCGTCCCTGCAGAACTCAGGGGCCATGGGGGCCACAGGGGCTGCCGCTCTGAGCTCAGGGGCTCTGCTGCAGGTAAGAGGCGCAAGTAATTGCTCTCATTTGTGCTGCTTTGAGACAGGAGTGTGTGTGTGTGTGTATATATATATATGAGTATTTTAAGCTCTTGCACACTCTCTCACCTCAGCTCCTTAAATACCGACAGACAGAGAGATCATACAGATGACAGTAAAGAGGGAGAGAATGGTTGTACTTTGTGTGTGTTATAAACTGCGTACTATTTTATTAATAGTATGTGAAATAATATGCAAATATTTCAAAATGTATGCTACATTATTGTCACACAACCTCATTGTGTTGCATGTTTAATTCAGTGAGTTGTTTTCACCGGTATGTTTGATATAACTACTACTACATTTGACAAAATGTACTGAATGGAGTGTGCTGTGTGGAATACACAATTCAGTTTGTTTGATCATCTTCCATTTTCACTGTGATGGATGAACAGGAAGCAATGTCATTGATTTTTAATATATCTGTGTTGACATTGTTGCATCGGACTTCCAAATGTGAAGATACTATTCAATATTGGAAGGAGTGCATAACGTTTTCTGTTTAACATACTATTGTGAAACAGAAAACATGGTATTACTGTTAAAACATAGTGGGAAATAAATAGTACTGTATATACTACAGTATTGAGAAGGCAAGTAATTCATTCTGGGCATACTGTACAATGTGTTCAAAAGTTTGGTGTCAATAAGATTTTTATTTTTTGATGTATAATTGTATTCAGCTAGGATGTATTATATTAATCAAATGTGGCAAAAAAGTAAAAGAAAAAATGGTTTCCACAAAAACATTAAAGGTGCAGTAAGGAATTTCTGAAAAACAGCGTTTCTCACTGCACCTTTAAGTGTAACCCTTCTCAACATTGAAAATTATAAGAAATGTTTTTGAGCAACAAATCAGCATTTTAGAATGATTTCTGAAGGATCATATGACGCTGAAGACTGGAGTAATGATGATGAGAATTCAGATTGCATCACAGGAATACATTACATTTTAAAATATTTTCAAATAGAAAACATTTCTTTTGAAATGTACTAATATTTCACAATATTACTGTTTTTACTGCATTTTTTATCAAATAAATGCAGCCATGGTGAGCATAAGAGCCTTGTTTCAAAAACAGACAGACCCCAACATTTTTAATTCAATGTGATGTGGTCTGCAGCATTAAAAATCATATTGCTTTTTCATTCGTCATTCTGTACATGGAAGTGCATTGTATTGTGGGATGCAGTACTCAATGTTTAATATACAAGCAGAACATATACACTTAGGTGAAGAAGTAGATCATTCCCTGCATACTGAAAATTCACCTACTGTGCAGAGTATTGTGCGGAGTATTCTGACCATATACTGCAAAAACAGCATGATAGTATAAGCCATTCCGAACACAAGCAGTGATGATGCAGAGATGGCATAAGATGGAAAAGAAAGGGCGAGATACTCACTGCTGTTCATTGTCAGTGAAGTGCAGATCTAGTTTGAGCTGGAAGTCCACCTCGCTCACAGCTTCCTCCACCTGAGAGAGACGTCAACACACCTGTCAATCACAACTAACCGCAAAACTTTAAAGTCCGTGTAAAGCGATATTAAATATGTGATCTGAGTTTTGTCACACCACAGAAAAATTGTATTAACCACCCAGCCAAATTTGATTGATAAAAAAAATGTGCAGATCGTTTATACTGCATTACTCACTGCATGAAATGGCATAATAAGGGCACTTTAATGAACTGTCAGCCAGTCAAATGCTTCAATTAAATAACATACAGCTATTGCTATGTGGCTGCTAAAATGTTCTGAGCGGGTGATTGGATATCTCTCTTTATGATCTCTGCATTTTGATCGCTATGTATGCCTGGTTGTTCCGTCAATGTTTTATCGTCCACCTAGCAAAAAAAAAAAAAGTATGACAATTTTAGCAGACCTGTCCTGAGGTGTTGTTATTCATCATGTGTTTTCTTGATATTCAACAATGTTGTTTCCCATGTGCAGAACCACATGAATCTTGGCCTTTTTATGTGATCATGCCAACAAGCACACTGTTGCTGTGTAAATGAAAGGAAATAACACTTGCCTTACACAACTGATGATAAATATAACTAAATTAAAGTTGATTTCATATTTCATCATTAGTATTATATATAGGGGAGAGCGGGGTGATTTGAGCCTGTGGGGAAGTTGAGCCACCCCTTGTTTCTAGGCAACATGAACCCCCTGGGGTCCGAGGGTGTTTTGGGGGCCTGGAGAAGTTTTGACATGCCATCACATTTGTGCTTTTTTCAGTTGCTTATAAACATACAAACGACTAAATAAATAAATGGTGATGTGACCACAAATGTATGAATAGTTATCCATTTTACTCACCCTGTGATGAAGAGAGGCCCATGCAATAATTGGTAACTACATTCAAGTTAAAAAAAAAATGTTGCTCTTCAAAGTCTTTTTTTTTTTTATGTTCAAGGACTCATGCTTCTTGTGTCTGAACAATTACAGACAAGTCTGAAAAAAAATATCACATGCTTTAGGAAGTGACATTTATGAGGCTATATTGTTAGCATGCTGTTAGCTCTAAACTGGAGGATGATACAAGTTTATTAAAATGGTAGGAGTGTGGTAATTTGAGCCGAAAGTCCTGGGGTAAGTTGAGCAGCTTACTCCTTATGATTATAAAGTGTTATTTTACTGTAATTCTACGTTATACTTCGTTAATTTTACACCAAACATTTTTTATTTTGTTCTTTGTTTTGTACTTGATTTTGTTCTGAAAATTGTACAATTTTAAATAGGCCTTATGAAAATTGCCCATTGAAATTTTATGCAATTATACTTCCATGCAACATTTATAAGTGGAATGTTGAGTACTATTAGCCCAGTTCTGTAAGGTAAGGTTTTTTAAATAATTTTAAAAAATGCCTTCAAAGTTGTGTATTGTGTCTTTGAATAAAAGTTTTAAGAAGTCATCCATCCATTCCATTATCCAAAGCTCTTTGTCCTTATCAGCGTAGCAGGAGCCTAACCCAGCGTCTTGAGCAGCGTCACAGGCAGAGAAACACATGGTCAGTCATTTTTATTGAATTTCTCTTCCTTTGTCATAGCATGAGGGGAAGGTTCCGCCCTGTTCTGAGAAACTGCCACACTCTGCCGATGTTTGAAAACAAACAGGGCTGCTCCAATTATTGATACACGGATTGCTTAAACTCACACTCTGGGGAAATGGAAAGCTATTTTTAGAAGTCTTATCTGAGGGGCAGAGACAGAGAGTGAGATGGAGTGAGACAGCGAGGAGAGCGGCCACAGATAACTGCTTCAAGGTTAATAAGAAAGATGGCCATATAAATCTGATAAGACACTCTCCCCACCCACAATTCCCTGCATCTCTCTACTGCTCTCATACCCGTTTCCCATATTTCATAACATCTAAAATGAGCTGGTATGGCACAGATGGTCATAATATTTGAATATAATACAGTGCTGTGAAAGGTAAAGACACTCTTTGAAGAGTTTTCTTTTAGATGGTTTTCGGATTCTGTTAATGGATAAGAAAAAAGCAAATGGCAATTTGACAGATGGCACTCGAAATGTAAATTTTGTAAGGATGTACATGAACAAATATTCCCTTTTCTTGTGTGGAAAAAGTTAGTACACTGCCAACATAACATACCATAGATTAGTAGGAAATCTTTAAATCGGATACACAACCTTTCATATTTATATTTCAAATATATTTATATATAAACAAAATGAATACCTTTATCCCGCAAGGATGCAGTAAACTGGTCAAAAGAGACAGCAAAGACTTTTGCTTTGTTACAAAAGATTTATGTTTCAAATAAAATAACTTTCTATTCATCAAAGAATCCTGGGGGAAAAAATGTATCACAGTTTCCATAAAAATATGAAGTGCCACAATTACTTTCAACATTGATGATAATAAGAATCCTAAAAAAAAATAACAAAAATAATAATGATATTGCCGTTTCCACCAAAATGTTAAGCAATAATTGTTTCCAACATTGATAATAATCAGAAATGTTTCCTGAGCAGCAAATCAGCAAATTAGAATGATTTCTGAAGGATCATGTGACACTGAAGACTGGAATAATGATGCTGAAAATTCAGCTTTGCATCACAGGAATCAATTACATTTTTTAAATCCTTCAACTAGAAAAGAGTTATTTTGAATTGTAATAATATTTGACAATACTACTGTTTTTGCTGTATTTTTCATTAAATAACCGCAATGTATTTCAAAGTTTCAGCACTATTACAGTGGGGAAAAAAAAGTATTTAGTCAGCCACCAATTGTGCAAATTCCAGATTTTCAAATAGTTGTATCTCGACCAAATATTGTCCAATCCTAACAAATACATAAATGGAAAGCTTATTCATTCAGCTTTCAGACGATGTATAAATCTCAATTTTGAAAAATTGACACTTAAGACGTTTTGTGGTCCAGAATCACATATATGTAATTTACGTCTGCATATACCTTTGGTATAAAAGTTAAAATTGTTCCAACTCGTACTCATTCTTTCTGTGGGCTTTGAACCCGTAACCTTCCAGCTGCCATGTGTTCGTGTCTTGTGTCGTCAGAGCAGCGGGACACTCACCCTCTCCCCGTCCAGCAGCAGGTGCACTCTGAAGTTCATGCGGTCCTCCAGGGTCACCTCCTCATTCCTGTACAGGATCTGAAAGATCCGACTGAAGACACCACCATCATGAACCCCTGCACTGCTGAAACTGCACTCGCCTACCCAGAGCAGGACAGACAGACGGAGAGAAAGAAAAGGTAGATTACTTCTCTGCTGTTCACATCAAAGCATCTCCAGAGAGAGATTCTCCACTGCGTGAACATCAAAGCACGTTCAGTGATGCTTCCCTGCAGAAAGAGAGATGTAGATGTTTCATTCATATTCAGTCTGCTGTTTACAGACGTTATTTTCTGACAGCGTTTGGCAGGATTGTGATTTTGTGTGTTTGAGGCTCGAGAGAAAGCAAAACATCAAATGAAAATACTTATTCTGTCAGATAGCAGGGCCTGTAGGAATACTATTATTATACAGTATATCTCAATTGCAGCTCCTAGATAGTGCCCTAGCTCCTAGATGGAGATCAAGTGGAGACTTTGGGTTTCCCAAGCATAAAACATTTATACAACATTACATTTTTGTTTTGTAATGTCACAGTGCACAGTTCTAAAAATGTTCTAGAAGCTTCTCAAAAAAACAGTACAATATTTGTAATTTCGTTGATTTAGTTATGTTGCAGAGCAATGTTTTAAAAATGATTTAGAAAACCACACACAAAACAGTACAATGTTGTGATTTATTTTATTTTATTTAGTTATGTTGTAGCGCAATATTTAGAAAAAGTTTTAGAAATCCATACAAAAAACAGTATAGTGTTGTCATTATTGTTTTATTATTTTATTTTATTTAGTTAAGTAATGTTGTACTGCAATGTTTTAAAAATATTTTAGAAACGGCACTAAACACAGCATATTGTAATGTATTATTATTTAATTTTATTTAGTTACATAATGTTGTGGTGCAATGTTTTAAAAATATTTGATAAACCACACAAAAACAGTACATTTCTCTTTTTTTTTATTTATTTTTTTTTTATTTTGAATTTTAGTTGTTACAGTGCAACGTTTTAAAAATGTTTTAGAAAGTACATAAAGAAAACATTTTGTCATTTGTTTATTTGTTTCTTTTTTCTTAAGTAATGTCGCAGTGCAATCTTTTAAAAATGTTCTGTAAACCACACTCACAGATACAAAAGAACAGTACAGTATTTGTAATTTAATGATTTTGTTAAATAAGGTCACAGTGCAATGTTTAAAAAAACACTTTAGAAACCACATTTACAAATATAAAAAGTATTTTTTCTTATTAAAGTTTACTTTAAAGTAGCCTCAAAAAGTTAATGTAGCATTTTTTACCATGAAAATCAGACCAGACTGCAACATTTGTGAAACATTTTATTTAATTTTTAAACTAATATTCTGTGCATATAGAAAATACTGTTTATAATGATGATATAGTAAGAGAAGCATGTTAGCCTGCTATTATTAGCCTACAATATGTTTATATCCAAAATAAAACCACAACACATTATGTTTGTGGAACATATTTGTTTACATTTTTAACCTTGAAGTATGCAAACTGTTGCAATATAGCATGAAAAATTATCCGAGTGACCTATTTCAATGTGTGTGTACTGTATATTTATTTTTAGGATGTGAGCTGGTCAACGTTTTCAACAGGAAGATGAGTAAATGACCGATTTTTCATTTTTGAGTGAACTCTTCCCATTCCTCCAGTTGAATATTAGCAGAAACATCCGAGAAAAGTTTAATGTGAGCAATGAAAGTTTCCTCTAAGGAGAGAAAATCATGAATCTGTCCATCAAATCCAGCATTACTCATGCCGTCCCGTTACTAACCTGACACTAAAGCAGCCACCATCAAGCCTGCAAGCATCAAACGTCGGCCACCGGCTCCACATCCAGCCAGAGAGAGACCGAGATCTTGTCTGAGACGGATGACAGCACCTCAGCGGGGTTTCTCTTCAGTGGAGAAGATGATAGCTTGTGTCAGAGAGGTGCTGAGCGGAACAGTGAGGGTCTCACGTAAAGACAGACCCCCGCTGCGTCCGTCTCTCTCTGTTTGCCTCTTTCTATGACTTTCTTCCTCTCTGCGTGCCACCTAAAACAGTTCTGCAGTGTGCCGATGCCCCAGAGACCCGGAGAGAGAGTTGTGGGGAGTGTGTGTGTGTGTGTGTGTGTGTGTGTGTGTTTGAAGGAGAGGAAGAGTCAGAAACCCAGAGAAAGATGATGGATCGGGTCAGTGTGTTTCTGATGAACATAATATAGACTATTTCTAGCCATCTGACAGCAGTATGGAAATGTACAGCCCTGCACTGTAATGCGGCATATTGGATAATCTATAATATACCTTTTAAAGAAAGAATTCACTCAAAAATGAAGCTCATGTTGTCAAAAACGTCTATTGAACAAGAAAATAGAATTTTTAAGATTTTTGTAGTCTTTCTAGCTCCAAAATAATGAAATTACACAATAAAAATGATGACAAAAGTAGTCCATATGAAATAATTCAGTCACAAATCAGACTGATTTCTCAAGTTAACTCGCTCCAGTTAACAGCACACACTCAATAAATATCAGTCTGCTCCTCACACAATGTTCAGAAGTTCAGCTCACACTGACTTCAGAAGACTTGGAATAGAGTGGAAATATGCAAGATGTATTATTTATTTTCACCCTTAAACATGTCTTTAGGAAGCCATTAGTTCTAAAAAAAAATAAAATAAAAAAAAATAGTAGTAGTAATAATAATAATAATAAAAAAACCACTTTTAGACAAAATTTGCATTGGATATCGGACAAAGCTGGGCATTTATGTTTGCAAAATTTCACCACTATATTTTGATACAGTAAGTGAAAGTTTTAGATTCACAGCAAAAGAACACAGTTGTAAAACATAAATGTATTTTTAAAAAATATATTTTTCAACACAGTAAAGGTCCTTGGACACTTGAGTCCGAAATTTTCGTATGCGTTTTTCTATTTTTTGCGTATTCGTCATCCTTTCCTTTCAAAATGCTTGCTACAGATGCGAAAACGCAGAAAATCGAACCTGGTCCGAATTTTTTTATGACGGACGAAAGTTTCGGAGGCAGTGTGTAAACGTGATTGACACAACGTGAGGTCGTATTTATTTTTCAACGTGCGAAAATGTCTGACTCAGTGTGCAGAGACCTTAAGAGTACAAGTCATGAAAAAGATCATTTAGTTTCAACTGAATTTCACTCAGTTAGCTTTTTGACCCTTTTTGAGTACTTTTAATACAAATTAATTTAAACAAGTATATAGTATATATATTAATGAGACAATAAGGATAAAATGTTTTATATTTTTTTGTACCATTCATTGAATAGACTTCATTGTGTGAGAATAACAGAAAAAAAGTTGACCCCTAATTCCCAGTGTTGCACTTTTGCCACCCTTAGAAAAATGGTCTAAAATGTATGTTCAACATTTTTCAAGAGCTTTAAGCCTTTTCCCATCACCACAAAATAAAAATGTTAAAATATAGATACAATCTATAAATACAAATTATCGATATTTATACACACAAATATTTAAGAAATATTTATACACACACACACACACACACACATATATATATATATATATATATATATATATATATATATATATATATATAAATCTTAAATATATACATGTATGTGTGTGCATAAAATATATACAGTACACACAGACATATTATGTAAATCCAGACTTTTATTTTGAATGCGATTAATCGCAATTAATCAATTTCACAGGCCTAATTTCCATCATTCAAAAAGTCTCCTTTTGTGTTTCAGAGCTGAAATGTCTGGAACAAGGTAACAGTAAGTAAAATCGTTTTTTAATTTTAATTTTTATATTTTATATTTGTGGAGCTTATTTATCTGGCTATATTGTTCTAGTGCAGATACTGATGCAACATTTGTCATACTTCTAAGTGAATAAATGTAAAATAATCTGACATTTTCATTTATTTATTTTTTATTTTTTGGTTTCAACTCAAATACTTTTTTTTGTAACATCTTAGATATTTCACAGCTCTACTTTTATCAAGCAAATGCTGTTATGATGGCATTTGATGGACACAGTAATGGATAGTGGATCAGGACAGTGTGTTTGTGATGAATGTCTCAGAGAGACTGAACAGAAGGGGCTGTTTCTGCAGCCGTCTGATTGCAGTATGGTAATTCACAGCACCGCATCACAGTATCACATGTTGTACAGTCAGAATTAGCATTTTAGCTCATGTCTCCAGGGCTTTATTATCATGGTGAGCGTGATTTCACCAAGTACAACATGTTCCTGGATCAACATCCTTGTTGATCCAGGAACATCATTCCAAATAACCAATCAGAATTGAGAGATACCTTTTCAGGAAATGTCAGTTTTAGACTTACAATCAGGATTAGGTGCTTCTACACCCTTGTTAATCAGCTATCATTTCCCTCTGATTTTAGGAATAAATTGTGGGTAAGGTTAGGTTTAGGGGTAGGGATTGGGTTAAGTCTGTATTTTTGGACAGTAATGTTGATCCAGGATCAACAAAATATCACAGCGACCTTATTATCATATGATGCGACAAATGATTAATTCTCTTTATAACTACGATATTATTTCTGCTATTAACAGTAGATATGTTAATATGCTGTTTTTACATAGACAGCGGGCAGCACTGCTGAAACATACATGATCCATAAGGAGTAATACAAAGTGGGAAGCGTCCTAAACAGGTCAGGATGAGGAAGAATTTGTAATTGAGTTAGTGGAGAGCACAAAGACGCTGAAACACTTCAGTTTAGTCAAGCAGCCAGTTGTCTGGATGACATTTTGAAACTGAAAATTAAATCCCATAAGAGCCAGAATGGCTGACAGATCCGAAATAGCCAGTGAGTGTGTGAGTTTGATTCAGACCGCCGCTGGCGTTCAGTCAAACGAGCTGCACCAAAACTCAATGTCAGACAGAGGCCATAGGCTTTCTGCTGCCAAATACACATACACACACACACACACACACAACTCCTCAATAAAGGCATTAAGTTATGATAGCCAAAGAAAACTGCTGTCTTTTATCTCATATGTCTAGTACTAAAGCAAAATGAGCAACTGAATGAACAGGAAATACTTAATTTGTCTTGGTTGGACAAAAAATGTAAAAGGGACATGACAAAAAGCTGTTATCACTTATTGTTTTGTTTTGTTTGGGGTCAGTAAGATTTTTGTTTAAATAAATTAAAGGGGTAGTGTCAAATTCCGTTCCGGGTTTTGTGTGTGTTTTGCTCCCCATGTGTTTCTATGCCCGTATTTGGTCCTTCCCATTCCTGTCCTTATCATCTGTTCCAGGTGTGCCCCGTTTAGTTCTATTAATCCCAGGTGTGTCTCCTCATCCCCTCGTCATGTCATGTGTATATAAAGTGTTCCCTGTTCTTAGTTCGGTGCAGTGTTGTCAATTTAACTACTCTGTAGCTAGATTTACCGACTTCCCTACCCTTTTGAGACTTTTTTCAGAAGTTTAGGGACAAATATAGCAACTTCTTGGACAAACCTTATCTAAGTTCTCATCTTGCCCACTGATCTATGTTCATCTTTATATAGATCAGAGAGTTTGCCATTGTGATGTCATCTAGTGACATTTAGCTACCAGTTTTAGCTACTTTCAATTGAAAGCAGTTAGCAACACTGGTTTGGTGTCCATTATTGTATATGTCAACCTCTCCTGCTACGTGTGTTTTCCTGGTTCCCTTGTGGTGGATGAATAAAGTCTCCTTGTTGATGTACTCCACGTCTCCTCATTCCTCGCACCGCGTTCCCTCACAGTAGCGAACGTGACCGGTAGTTCACCCATAGATTTACTCCACCTCAAGCCATCCTAGGTGTATGACAGTCTTCTTTTAGACTAATACAATCGGAGTTATATTTAAAAATGTCATGGCTTTTCCAAGCTTTATAATGGCAGTGGCATCTTACTGACCCCAAACTTTTGAATGGTTGTGTGTATAATGTACCTTTTTTATTTAGAAATACCAGAATTACAAGCAAGCCTATGTCAGCAAAAAAAAACAGAAAAGACAGCAGACATCCAACAACAAAATTCTAGTCTTGTCGTATCCTCTCACGTAAACAGAAGATGAAAGTCTGCCCAGAAGCTCATTATGGTGAAGTGATGTCAGTCAGACAGCATAATTTGATCTGGAATCACACGATTCAGACGAGTATCTGAGGCCTCACCGAATAAGCCTGTGTCACTTTCAGAAGCATGCTATGAATGCAAATTGGGAAGTAAACAGCAGTCATATGGGTGAATAGAGTGATTCATTTTCAAAATTGTGTTTGGAAAGATATTACAAAGAAAATATAGTGTTGAAGTAGATTTTTAAGAGGCTTTTCTGGATAGAGTGTGTCTTTCAAAAATACTTATTTTGGATTTTTTGAACATGGTCTTAAACAGGTTTCATAACAGCAGTGTGTACACTGATAATTGTGTGTGTATGTGCAGGTAACCTGTGTGTGACATTAAAGAAGCCGTCAGTGTTGTGAAAACACTATATTTTCACCTGACACAACGTGACCTGTTGAAACATGGTGTCCGTGTCCCTGATTGCCTTTAGATGGCCATAAAACCAAAGCAGCCTGGAGATTACTGTTTTGAGCGCAGAATGTGTGCTGAGAATGTGAAGAATGTAAGTTACACACAGAACAAGACACAAGCAATAGGTAAATTACATAGAGTGTGTATGTTTGTAATCAAGGGGTCATAGAAAACCATGAAAATAATCATACAGCAAATGTATTTACTATGCTGTAAAGGTAATGCATATTAGAAAATGGCAGAAAACATTACAAGTAAAAATTAAACAAGTAATTTTATGTATTTTTATTAATAATAATAATAATCCTATACAAATGGTTCTGTTATATAGTTTGTTGGTGATATTGTAGAATGAAAATATATAAAATGTTAAAATGATAA